TTCTTCGTCCTCTAGTGTGTCTGCAGCGTTTGGGGACCAGCACTGACCATTTTTTGAATTGTCTCTTTTCTTGACCCCTTGGCTCAGCTACTCTCTCACTACCAACTATATTGCTTGTGTGTCTTTGTTACTGGCTCTCTGGTGCCATCCAGATATTCAGACGTTATTTGCTTATATAGAAAGGGTGTGTCGGGCCCGTTTTGGAGCCAGGCTCTGTTCCAGGAGTGAGGATACAGCATTGACTTGACAGGCAGTGTCTGCCATAGATACCCGTGGGCCAGTGATGGAGACAGAGGATCACTGAGGACCTAAGTTGTTATTGAAGAAGGGCCACTAGAGAGATGTAAAGGGACAACAAGAGTACAGTCACCTGGAGGTCTAGACGGAGTCCTTCAGGGACACTGATGTGAGGTTGGAGGATGCATAGGGATTAACTGGGCCATGAGTGGGCGGCGCCGTCTGGGTGGAAAGGGTGCATGAGTAAGGCTGGGAGACAAGGAGCATGGCCTGCTACAGGGACCGAAGGCTGGGATGGCTAGAGCACAGGTGCGGAGTGTGGCTTCAGGGGCGGCAAGGTCCAGGCTGCAGGGTCTTCAGCCATGGCGAAGAGTTTGGATTTGAGTTTAAGCCATCGAAGAGGTTTAAGCCCGGGAGTCACCTGACCCGATTTCCATTCCAGCGAAGTTGTGGAGAGTGGATTGGGTAAAAGGAGCTGCAGGGCAGGTCAGTCCACTGCAGTGGCCCATCCCAAGTAGGAGATGGTGGAGCCACTGATGCCTTGAGGCTCTTCCCTTGCCCTGCAAGCTTCGTGTGTTTGGACTAAAACCGGATGCGTGGCTGCTGCTTCCTAACCAGTTACTGTTCTTGGTTTCTTTGTTCCCATCGCTCATTCTGCTTTCTCCTAATCACCGATTTGAAAATTCAAGGCCACTTGTGTCAGCCTCTCCTTTGGGCCATCACAGCCTCAGGCCAGAACCCTTGCTGCACAAGGAGCTTCTTGGACTCAAGTGTTCCCCAACTCTGATCCTGCCTGAGCATGTGACAGTGCCGCTTCCTGAAACCCCACTCATGCTCTCTCTCCCTTCCTCAAAAACTCACTCCTCCCCTTCGTCTCAGGCCAAGCCTAGGCTCTGGGGGCCAGCCATTGCCCCTGAAGCTCCACCCCACTCTGTCTGCTTTCCCCATTTCCATTTTTTATGTTGTGCAGTATAAACCTTTCACCCCAGTCCAGTAGTGGGATTCCTACCCAGGTGGAGCTCTTGATCAAACTAAAGATGTTTGTGGAGGCAGAAATGAATGAAAAGAAGATTTTTTCTTCTGGTCTGGCAAGAAGATCGATAGAGATAATCTTCAAACACGCACACACCTCACTACAAGCATCTTGAAATGCTAGATAAAATATTACAACACCCCCTATAATGTTCAGGTATAGCTGAATTTACAAGGAAGAAAGGAAATCCCCAGATGAAATAAATGGAGAGAGAACTGGAAACCAGAACCTGAATGAGTGAACTGATGTGCAGCTGGATCATTATCAGCCACAGTGACACAGAGCAGGCCCAGCGCAGCTCTGCAGAGGCCAGATAGTAAATAGGTTAGGCTCTGCAGACCGCGGACAGTGGGACATCTTCTTTTTCTTTTCTGACAACCTTTTAAATATATATAAACCATTCTTAGCTTATGGGCTGTATGAAACAGCCCACAAGCCAGATTTGGCCATGGGCCACAGTTTGCTGAACCCTGATGTAGAGGCCTAGGTTTATGTCCACATGAAGATAGGT